TGCTAAAAAGCTGATTGATATCTGTTTTATCATCACCTTGAATGCACAATATTGTATGTTTTTCTGTATTAAAAAGGTGAGTTTTTGTCCTTGGCAATGTAAAATACAGTTGAAATTACACACAACAGAAAGCAAAAGATGTTAACACTGTTATTTGCATTCTAAACAGCAAATCCCATGACAAAACACTGACTAATTAGGACAAGCCTTTTGTCTTATTATTGCTCTGTAGTAGAATTAATGACCTGATCATGGAAAATACTTCATGCTGGTGTCTGCTAAAAAGCTGATTGATATCTGTTTTATCATCACCTTGAATGCACAATATTGTATGTTTTTCTGTATTAAAAAGGTGAGTTTTTGTCCTTGGCAATGTAAAATACAGTTAAAATTACACACAACAGAAAGCAAAAGATGTTAACACTTATTTGCATTCTAAACAGCAAATCCCATGACAAAACACTGACTAATTAGGACAAGCCTTTAAAAACAATATACAGTATTCACTGCTCGTGTAATAAATGGTCCGTGTGTAGTCACCTGTGTTTAGGAATATGAAGGTTATTAAATTAAATCTGTTCAAATGTTCTTTTTTTGAACTAATGCAGCTACTGATTAAATAATCAGAAGTTGACCTGATTTTTAATGAGCTTTTAAATATTAGAAATATTAGTGTTGAGTGAGCTATATTCCTCCTTCACAGAGCAGTAAAACGGTAAAAGTATCTGTTTGTTGTTTGACCTCTGACATTGCATTTGCAGAAAATAGGGTACAGCAAAACGAGTCCCCTGTAATGAAAATTATGACTAATGATTTTAGCAATGATTCACAGTTTTAGCTCATGAAATCTAATATGACACGCTTGTTGTCAAAATGATTTGAGCCCAAAAGTGCATATTTGATTTATGGCCCTCAGAATACGTAGCTGCGTGCCTGAAGTCTGTAGTTTCACTGAAAACGGTGGTGACTTTGTGTTGACTTTGATTTGTGGGCCACTTTGAAGTTAAATAAAGCAGATAATAAGAATGTCGACTAGGTGATTTATGGTCTGATCCAAGAACATGCATCACAACAAAAAGAACAGTATGCAGATTTTCATTTATACAGCCTTAACACTAAAGATATGACCAGCAGTTTAGTAGACGAATATACACACAGTTGGGTTATATAGTTAGAACTTAAGTGTCCTGAATTGTCAACAGAGTTATTTGGCATTTTTAATAGCTTTAGCAATATATTTAGCAAATTTCTTACAAACTCTCTATATCTATGTCTACACATTGCATTATAATTATGATTTCTAATTAAGATTCAGTTTTGGCCACCTATAAAGAAATGGATTATGCCGGGAGAGATGTTGTCTCCTGCAAAATTAGATTGTGGTTTTTCATGTAGGCTACTAGTTTAAGTAACAACAAAAGATAACAGTGTAGTGTGACAAGAACTGACCTGTGAGGATGCAAATAACATTTCATACGTTATTACTGGCCTACTGACTTTAGAATTTATCTGATTCCTTTTTTTGTTTTTTATTGCTTTTTATAATAACATGACCCTCATCTTAAAAAATGTTTCCAACGCTCATTTCTTAAAAAAATTAGAAAATTCTATACATTTATTTTACAATTCATCATTTTTTCCTACTGGCTTAAAGCACACCAGAAAAAAAAAGTAAAACACAAATTTCTGAAGATTGCATAAAGTATGCATTAAAACAAAGTGTCCACTCCAGCATCTACAGCTCTCAAAAAGTCAGGGGGAAAAAATACACACAATAACCAAATACATGCATACATACAATACATGCATACACAGTTATTTTGGGAAGTATATGATTTTTCATCATTTTCATTATGCATCTCTTGTCTTTGTGTATTTAATATTCATGCCCTCTTCCAACACAAATTATATAGCTCTTACAAAATATGGGGATGTCATCGATATTAGACACAAAGTACATAAAAGTCTGATTGACTAATATTTATGAAATCTGCTGGGTTTGGAATGTTGCATCTAAACACGGTGGCCTTGACGTGCCTAATACCTGTCACATTTAAACAGTCAATAAAAAATTAAGACCATCACTGTACATGAAGCATTTTATCGTTTCTAATGGACTTTTCTGTAGCAAACATTTGGTCCATGTATCTCAACCTCTCAGGTAAACTCTAGTCAACGAAACCTTCCCCAGTGAGAGGCCATCTGCCTTTGGAATGACTCTACAATGAACCCAGCTGTTTGACTGGATCAGTAAGGCTCTGGCTACCACATGCGTTTTGCACAGTCCAATGATCATGAAATGTGTACAGTATAGACAGCAGGACAAAAGCTAGCAGTATTTTTTTTAAACAAATTCCACTTTTTTTTGGCAGGCAGTCTATGTTGAGGCATACATTGCCATGACTGACTTAGAATCCATTCGAATCTACATCTGAACCAATGGAAACATGGCAAACACGAGAACAGTTTGTTGTTGCATGAGATAAGGATATAATTACTTTGATTACACCTTTACACTGTTGATTAGGACAATCAGAGTTTGATGAAATATTTATACTAAATATTTTTAATTTGTGATTATTAGAACATTAGCCAAAAGGCTTCCGGGATGCAGGCGTGGGGGGAATAAGACTGGCAAAAAGCAAAGAGCTGCTGATTTTTGCCTCCATCTACACAGTTCATTCCAGAAATGTTCACATTAAAAGGACAGTTCACCCAATAATGATTCTGTCAATTCTGTCATTATTTACTCACCCTCATTTGATTCCATTTTGGACCCCATTGTTTGGACAATCTTGGAAATATGTATTCTGCAGAAAATAGAAAGTCATACAGGTTTGGAATGACATGAGAGTGAGAAAATTATGACAATTGTAATTTTTTTGCTAAACTATCTCTTTTTTTTTTTAATTTTTTTTTTACGTTTTCCACATTATCTTTTGTGTTGAATCTTAAGAGCTACCAACAGGGTTGACTGGTGCTGTATGTATTTGTGACACATGAAATAACTCACAGATCAAAACTGTCCAGATTGACTACTTTGCTAATACACAACATCACTTGATGCAATGCCTAATATTCCCGTGGACAAGAGAACCGACACTTCTAACATAACAGACATACTCATTTCCACCAGAATGTACCTTGATACCTTTATATTGATTTGTGCAAGATATTTCTTCAACGTGAACACAGTGTATACCATCTGCACTGCTCATATCTGCAAAAAACACACAAATACAGACAAAACACATGCTACACTCAAAAACAATATCTACTCTTGTGATTTGACACATACTGTATATTTTTTAGACGACAGCCATCAGTGAATCTGCCTAATGTGCAAAATAACAAAACAACAGAAAGGAAACCTTTCTCTTTTTCCATTTTCCACATTATCTTTTGTGTTGAATCTTAAGAGCTACCAACAGGTTTGACTGGTGCTGTATGTATTTGTGACACATGAAATAACTCACAGATCAAAACTGTCCAGATTGACTACTTTGCTAATACACAACATCACGTGATGCAATGCCTAATATTCCCGTGGACAAGAGAACCGACACTTCTAACATAACAGACATACTCATTTCCACCAGAATGTACCTTGATACCTTTATATTGATTTGTGCAAGATATTTCTTCAACGTGAACACAGTGTATACCATCTGCACTGCTCATATCTGCAAAAAACACACAAATACAGACAAAACACATGCTACACTCAAAAACAATATCTACTCTTGTGATTTGACACATACTGTATATTTTTTAGACGACAGCCATCAGTGAATCTGCCTAATGTGCAAAATAACAAAACAACAGAAAGGAAACCTTTCTCATCTTTGTCATTGCTCAGTTTAACTACACAAACAGGTGCATGACCAGATTTGTGGTTTTGTAACAAACAAACACACAAGCAAGTAAACAAACAGATTATATCAATGCAACTTTAAGACATGCTACAAGTCTCTTTTCTCATGAATGAGCCACTTGGGTGCATTGGAAAACCTTTTTTTAAATGGCATATGCAGTTTAATATTGTATGCAAAACATTTTAGTGATTCATGTCGGTGGTCGCCACACAAAGTACCTTCAGACACTGTTTATTTACCCGGAAGAGTAAGACAAATTACAGTCTGAATATCAGCTAAATGTCAGATTTGACAAATGTACTTTCACTGAACTTTTAAAGGAGAAAAACCCCTTTTACAATTCTTAATGATTCATTCTATTGACCATTAGTGCTTTGCTTGGAGGATATTTTCCAGATATAAGGTGGGACCTCTTGGGGGGAGTCTCAGTGAATACGTCTAAATAACTGCTACTAGAGAAAACTGCAAACACACTATTAGATTTGCTACAGGACATTTGTGATAAATGCATGCCAAGTGTTATTTGTAGGAGAGTGCTGCATAATTTGATGGACACTGAAAACTGCTACTTCCTTTCGCTACTATTTTTCACATAGTTATTTTTAAACAGAGTTGGTCTTGATTAATTATGTAAGCACAAGCCTGGAGGAATGTGAGGTGCATAACAGTTAGAAAAGCACAGAGTGATCAAAAAGAATCATGTTGGTGCTAAATAAAAGCAAATGACCTTGTTGATATCTGCTCTTATAAAACATATATGAATACCCTTGGGGATACCCCTAGAGATCGAAAATAAGCAGGAACCTACCTGCTTAGATTCATGCTCATAACATTTTTGGAGGCCTTCTTTTTAGGTGTTTTGCATTAGTTCATGTATACAGACAACCTTCCCTCGCAAACCTTTCATTAACGGCTAACATAAGCTAGCAGCTGCAGATGTTATACACTGTTCTAGACAAAGGGTACACAAGAAATGAGTGAGAAGGGGTTTTTAACTCTGGACAGCACTGTTGTTGATTGCTGGGGTTGCGAGGGTCACCCCAGGGGCGAGAGTGCCGAACTCGGCCACCTCTGGATCTGTGAAGTGCTGCCTGACGTCACCCCCTAGTGTACAGGAGCTGATTTCTTACCACTTACGTTCACACATATCTTTCAATCAAACATTGGTCACGTGGTCCGGGTTTTCCCTGACTTCGATGCACTCGATTTCCTCTCTCTCCCTCTCCCGCTCCCTCTCTCTTTCCCGCTCTTTCCGTTTGGCACGTTTCTTTTTCTTGTGCCGCTTCTTAGAGGGCGGGAAGAATGTCAAAAACACCGGTAGGATGACGAAACAGTGCAGCACTGTGCAGCCGGCCGTGAGAAGGGAGCACTTGAACAGTGTGTAGGTCAGGTTAGAAGGCACAAAGAGAAGAGGCATTATCCCAATTACAAAACACGAGGTGTTCTGCAAAATGGCAGCCCCATGCTCCTCTAAAGAGATCTTGATGCACTGAGTCCGCGTATGCTCAGTGGCCAGTACGAACGTGTAGAGGTGGGGGGCACAGTGATCCATAGCAAAGTTGAGTGTATAAATAAGGCACAGGATTGAGATACTGTCCATGTCTACATTCCAGAGCGTCATGAGACCCAAGACACCCAGTTCCACGGAGGTGACAGTCAAGATCAACCAGAAGTTCCCCAGTGGGTTAATGACCAGGAAGAAGGTGAGGATGAGAATGGTGAGCACGCTGAAACCCGATGTTAGGATGGGGGAGATGATGGAGGAACTATAGCGGTCCATGAACACGAACGTCGGGTTGAAAATGATGAACTTGATGCTGTTTATGAGGGAGAGAGGTCGAAGTCTCTCCAGCAGCTCCACGACCTCCTCCCTGGTCTTCTCGGTCGTCCTGGCCACCAAGTACATCTTGGATGCGATGATGTCGTACTCGTCTCCGTTTTTGGAGAAAATGATGTCGTCTACAAAGTGCTGATATTCTGGGCTCCTCAGAAAAGAAGTCTTGAGGATGTTGATGAAATCACTTTTGGTTGACGCACTGACATTCAAGACCCTCAGATAGTGAAAGTAATTATCAATCCATGAAATCTTATTAAAGCCCTGGCCCAGCGTCTTGAGGTGCTCCTGTACTGTGGAGTTCCAATACTCAATGGGTTCGTAGATGTAAAACCCAATCACCGGACTGTAGTTGCTAAAGTATTTCTGTTGGGTCAGGGCGAACGACACACTGGGTGAATTACTAGCTAGCAGATTAATTATGTTGGAGCCATCGCTGATTTGTAAACATCCCATGAACGAAAAGGAGGCGTAAATCAGGTAGAGGATAACCACAAAAGGTTTGACGTAGGTGTTGGTAATCCATTCTGTGTAATGCTCCCTCAGGAAGTGCTGAATGAAGTGGTTCTGGTACGGTGCGCTGTCGTGGTGCGTAGACAAGTCGTGGCCATCACTCATCATGGTCTTAAACCAAGTGGGCTGGCGGTCCAGATACTCCACTGAGGGGATCTTGCAGCAGAAGACGCTGTGATAGCGGTTTTGCTCCAGCTGCCCGGCAAACACCAGACAGGAGCCGTAGAATGAAAATACGTAGAAGTAGTTCACCAGGATTGCTACACACATGCTCTGGCAGAAGACCTTCACGGATTCGATGTTGGTGAAAGGGCTGGCACCCATGCCGAAGGTGATAATATAGAGTGAGCTAGTCATGGTGTAGCACACCATCACGTCAGCGAACGCATCTGCCACTCTCTCCTTGAAGGGCAAACTCTCTCTGGTTCTTCTCCAGCCTGCCAGAAGCTCAAACACACCCTTCGTTCCATGTCCTGAAAACAAAAAAGAAGCAATTTATAGTTTGATGCATGTGCAATTTTTATACAAAAATATAAAACATGATTAGTGTAAGACCGATATATCAGCCAGGGTGATTAATTGCCCATTTTCATATTATTAGCATTGGGTGAAAACTGTGCCCACTTGGCTGATTATAGTGTTAGTTGTGTCAGTTCCAAAATCTAACAACAGCCAAGTTTCAGTAGGCAATATTCTTTTTGTACTTTTTTTCCCAGTGAATTTTAAGCATCTGAATTAAATGAATTACAAATATACATTCCAAACTACTTGTCCTAAAATTTACAATATACAAAACAGCCCTCAATCAAGTTTGATTTTGGATATTAATTTCTATAAATAGATAAATTAAATAAATTAGAAATGTGTTAAATGAACGTTCATTTATTTTCAGCAATTATATGAATACTTAATTTGTCTAATATTACTAGTGAAAATGCTTTTTTTTGTAGATAGATAGATAGGCTCATACATCACATCTAGTGTGTGGACAATGACGCCTTTGAACATTTTAATACTTTTGACTTTCATCCATCCACTAAGTATTTCACTCAGCATCAAGGACATCTCTACGCACACTGTCGCTGTCAAGAATATGTCACAAAAACTACTCTCTTACCTCTTTCTACAAAATCATAAATTTTCATTGACCTGACAGACACGGAGAAAAAACTAATTAACCATAAAGGATTACGCCAATGTAATGAGTCAGATGGACTGGCTTTCTCTGCTTTTAGCTTTATTAAGAGGAAGATCAAGTCCATTAGCTTATGTGAATTCATCTGCAAGATGAGGAGGGCACATGGTGGGCTAGTGGTCACCCGGTGGCCAAAGATTCAGGTTGCTAATGCAAAGACTGCATGTTCAATTACATACACTCATAGAAGGGGCATCACAATCTTTCTTTCATCATCAAGCACACTTAAGATAGGCACTTAGCCCCAGGTTGCTCCAAAAGGGTTGTCCCTGCAATTATAGGAAGCTGCTCTAAATAAAACCAGCTGCTAAATGGTAATTAAAACCTAACTACTGAAGACAACGTTTGGTAGAATTAAAACTTTCAGACATCTGAGTGTGAGCATGGGTCACCACTTGCCACATTACTGTATATATATCAACAAAATCATTGTATGAGGATTTAATTTGTTGACCCTGCCATCTCATGAACAACACTATTACTGCTTGAGCAATTCTTTTGCATTCTCCTATTAAGAAGATTCATTAGATTCATAAAGTGAGTGCCATTTATTATTTGGAAAATGTGCAAAGAATTGTAAGATGCTAATGGATGATAAACAAATTTTCACTTCAGCTTTGCTAAATGGAAATTGTAATCTCTTGGCTGATGGAGGCTAATTCATTTAGTTCAGTGATTCCCAATCTGGAAAGTTTCATTTGTGTTTTGTTAATAAACTAAAACTATTTTTTTTTTAAAATTGTGTAGAAATTTTTACCCAGAAACTATTAGTAAATTACAAAGAAATTGCAAGTGACATAATACCTTTTTAAGCAATTTTGAAATAAAAAACTTTAATCATTTTTTGTAATCTTGTAACCTGTTTGTTTTATTAATAACAAAACAAATCTTGCTAGTATGATAGTATGCTTTGTATGTGTGTATGTTTTGTATAATATGCACAAAAATTAAAATAACATCTCTGTAAATTTAGTAAAAACAAAACAATAAATATCACTGAATGTCTCAGTGCACTGAATTCAGTATTAATTAAATTCAGTAACAACAAAGACTGATGATATACTTTGCATCAGAATTGACAGTAAATGCAAACACTGAACTCCACTACATTTTCTGCAAAAAATAACCATAACTTTCCATGTTATTTTTTAAATTAACCTTACACATAAAACAAGGATATTTTGCCACTGGCCTGCTATAAAGGTCCTCTGACGGTCTTCTCATTAACATTTGTAAAAATGTGTTTCACTCGTGTGATACATAATTGCTGATATGAGTTAAAATCAACACATCACTGGTTTGGTGTCAATGTAGTGATATTTCAGCCTTACTGATGAGCCATAGGTCTAAAAAGATTGGGAAACACTTATCATATCATTCTTATTATTAATTCCTGCCATTTTATTGATTTAAATATTAAAAATATAAATATCTGAACAACAAAAACACAGATAATTTAGGCATTAGCATTTCACTGTTCTGGTTTTAGACATCATCACTTTTCAGATGCTAACATATCACTTAAACATGATGCAAGAGGGATTTCCCTACTTAGGACAAATGAGAGTTACAGGAATGGTATTTCTAAATGTATTACCACACTCTTATTCAGAATGACATAGTGATTTCTTCAGTGTGGGCCGAGAATGAATCACCACAACATAAATGGAGTGCCATCAGGCTGCTGGTCAAGGGCAGAAAGAAAATGTGCTCAGTTCTAAAGGTCTCTAATGAAACAGGAAAAAAGAGACAAAACATGACTAAACTGCATATCTGCCTAGATCAAGCCTTTTTTGTCTTATGCTGCCCAACAACTCAATGGCTCAAGCTGTCTTCATCTACACCAAATCAGAAAAATCAGTTTCTTATTATGCTACATATCATTTAGAATTAACATAATCCAAATGGACATTATTATAAGGACTCATGTCTTTTTCCCTTAAAAAGTCAGAAAGTTGTTAATTACAAAGAAAAAAGATAAATCGTTTTTCAATACTGTAGTCTTTTAGTAACCTCAATATTTTTTAATTTCTGTTTTATCGGTTTAATCTTGCCAAGTATCTCCTCAAACTTGCTTAAAGGAGACAAAACATGAAAATCTGACTTTTCCAGGTTTTAAGTGTTATAATCAGGTCCCCGGTGCATCTACCAACCAAGGAAACGTGAAAAAGATTAACCCAGTAATTTTGTTTTGGTAAGCCTTTTTCTGCAAGCGTCTGAGAAAACAAGCGCGTCTGATTTCACTCCCTTGGTGACGTGGCAAAGGGATCTCATTATAATATTACCGCCCCTTAATCTGTAAGTTTCCACCCACGGCGCCATCATTTTGATTTCACAAGCGACAACGGTGTACCAGCTCTAATGCCCTCTAAATGTATAAGCTCTAACTGTTCTGTCTTTGGCTGCACAGACGAGCACAGAACATGATAATCAGAGCCAAAACAGATGTTTTTTTAGCAGATAGGAGCTGTAAAGGCATAGCTCTATTCTGGAAAAGGGGGCGGGGAACAGCAGCTCGTTTGCATTTAAAGACACAGGCCCGAAAAACAGCGTGTTTCTGCATCCACTAAAAATAGGCATTTTCAAAATGATATAATAAATTATCTGTGGGGTATTTTGAGCTGAAACTTCACAGATACATTCTGGGGACACCAGAGACTTATATTACATATTGTAAAAAGGGGCATAATGTGTCACCTTTAAGTGCCCCCTGTGGTAGCTGGGAATCACTGGGTTAGCGCTTTAACAAATATAAGAAAAATAATCTTTAATATATTCTCTGTATTATAAATGCTTTCAGTTATTAATATCCACTATTATATTATTATTTTAGTTGCTTCTCCTTTGTAAAACGATTCAATTCCATCTTAATTCTGTCATCTTGTGACAGTATGCAAAAGCTTACTCCTAAAATAGCATCTACTGTATGGCAGTGATTTTGTTTTAAACAAGCTCTGTCAAAAGGGGTCCATCCATTCAAGGCTGTAAATTACTTTGCTATGCCAGTAGAGGAGTGCATAGCAAAGTGACATCTTGAAACAAGATTGACATGATTTACCGCAGCAGCGGCGCCAAACGTTAAGGAGTGCAGCAGCAAATAGAGTGTATTCAAAACTGAAAGCACAAAGTCACGAGCTGGCACGAGAATGCTGCTTATACATTACAGAGTAAGACAGAGATTTTTAAAGCTTTTAAAATAAAGCCATTTCAACAACGTCTAGGATGATTTCACTGGACCAGCACAACAGGGCCAATGGCCCTGAACGTTGAGTAGTGAGTGACCCATTGTTGTTAAAGACATACATTTACTTCACTATCATACTTCAACATTATCATATACAGTATTATTAACATACAACAATGAGGACATACAGAGAAAACCCACTAAATAGCATTTCACCGTAAACACTGTACTTTTCACAAACCACCTGCAATCCATCTTAACAAGACACAAAATGCTAAAATGAAGTAAATGTATTTTTTTTTATCCCAAACAACCCTTTCTATGCAAAATAAGTTTAGCACAGTTTTATTCACAAAACACTCTTATTCATCGAGTGATAGAAAAAAGATCAATATACCATATAGCTGTGCATTGTACAAAGTTGGAGAAGCTTTGAAAGTCTATCTTGCCAAGTTACAAGCTAAATATATTTTAAACTATTTAAACTACAACCAAGCTACCATTTGGAAAAAAAATTGATGAAAAACTAGTTAAATGAAAAAATACAATATATATCATTTCTATAATAACTCAAGTAACACTTACAATAATGTCTCATTTGTTAACATTAGTTACATGAACTAACTATGAGCAATATATTTTAGCATTTAAAAACCTTTGTTAATGTTAATAAAATACAGTTGTTCATTGTTCATGTTAGTTCACAGTAAATTAACGGTAACAGACTTTTTTTTAATGTATTAGTAAATGTGACCCTGGACCACAAAACCAGTCATAAGGGTCCATTTTTTTAAAATTAAGATTTACACATCTGAAAGCTGAATAAATAAGCTTTCCACTGATGTATGGTTTGAAAATCTGGAATCTGAAGGTGCAAAAAAATCTAAATACTGAGAAAAAGTTAAAGTTGTCCAGATGAAGTTCTTAGCAATGCATATTACTAATCAAAAATTAAGTTGTGTACTTTACAGTAGGAAATTTACAAAATATCTTCATGGAACATGATCTTTACTTAATATGCCAATGTTTTTTTGTCTATTGCTAAAAATATACCCAAGCGACTTAAGACTGGTTTTGTGGTCCAGGGTCACAAA